TGCGGCGCCAAAGCGTGAGTACCTGGAAGGGAAGTCTGCCTGTGGAATCGTCTTGCCTAGCCGATGTATAATATCATAATCGTACGCTGCCAGTGCAATACTCCATCGTTGAATCATGGCGGCTGTGGCTTTAACGATAGACTTGTTGGGGTTGAGTAAAAATTGTGGTGCCTGATGATCCGTCACAATGGTAAAGTGTAGTCCAAACAAATACTTGTGCAATCTGCGGACAGCCCAAAACACCGCCAGGGCTTCTTTCTGGGTCTGCGAGTACCCCTTCTCCGCATGGTTGAGTAATCGGGAAATACAAATAACGGGAAGCCCTTCTTGCTCTAACACGGCACCAATGCCCACCTCGGACGCATCTGTCACTGGTTTAATCGATTTTGATGGGGAAAATGATGCCAGGAGTGGACGTTCAGTGATGTTCCGTATCAATTCGTGAAGGGTTCTTTCGCAACTCACGGTCCATTTCCAGTCTGCTGCGGATTGTGCGACAAACAACGTTTGGGCCCTGGTGGCGAAATTAGGAATAAATCGTGAATAATACTGAAGGCATCCCATAGTCGATCGTAGATGATTTTGATCTTTCGGGAATTCGATATTCACCAGGGGTTTGAATCGGTTGGGATCCGGTCGATATCCTTTGGAACAGACGGTGAATCCCAGGAGCTCCAACTCCATCATTCCAAAAATGCACTTAGATGGTTTGATGCGCACATTTTTCTCCATGAATCGTTCGAGAAGTTTCTCCAAATTGTTATCATGTGCTTCTTTCGTTGTTACAAACACAATTAAATCGTCTTGATATGTCATAACTCCACGTAACCCAGACACCACATTTTCTATTGTGGACTGGAAGATTCCGGATGATACATGCAAACCGAACGGAAGGAAATTGTACTGGAACAATCCCCACGGTGTATTGATCGTTGTAAATGCCCACGAATCTGGATGTAATGGAATTTGAAGATAGGTATCTGCCAGATCGATTTTGGAGAAAAACTGACAACCGTGTAGGGATTTCATGGAGTCCTCTGTCTCCATGGTCGTCGCTGCACATTTTCGCAATCGGGGATTGATTGTCAGTCGGTAATTATCACATATCCTCGGAGTTCTGTCATCACTTTTCATCGCGACAACAATAGGAGTTGCCCATGTTGATGACGTCACTCGAGAAATAACACCAGTCTTCTCCATGCGGTTGATCGCATTCAGCACACCTTCTCGTTGTCCATATGGTAAGACACGTCTTTTTAGGAATACTGGTTCATCGACGACCTCCAAAACTGCCTCAGGAACGCTCATTCCTCCCGCATTCTCAATACATCGGATTACCAGCTTTCGAATTTCCTCAGTTGTATCCGATTTAAGTTCGTTGGTATGTAGGGATAAGGAATGTCCCAGCGCTCTCATCGCCATCAATCCAAGAATAGACGGACTGTCTTGTGACACCAAAGATCGAATGGGCACACAACTGTTATCCTTGGAATGAATCGACAAAATTGTCTCACCCATTAGCGGAAGAAGGTGTCCAGTTACACCATGGATTCGTGTTGTGGTCGATTTTACGGTAGCATTTGGGCATACATGTTTGAGAGCTCCGCGTGAAATGATGGACTCACCACTGCCGGTATCCACAATAAAACTGTGTCGAGTGCCGGATTCGAAAGTAATATCCTTGTAAATGAACTGCTTGTATTCGCCCATTGTTCGTAATATACAAATTGGGTTGACTTCTTCTTGACAGCACGGTGTACCCATCATATTGCATTTCCTTTGGCGGCATACCTTCTGAATATGGTCAACTATACCACAGGAATAACACTTTGCATCTCGGAATCGACAGTTGGACCGCAAATGGAATTGACCGCATGACATACACCGATTGATATTCGTGGTTGGGCTCCTCTGGTCAGAGTAATTGATCGTCAGATTATGAGGAGATTTGGACTACATCCCGGGTGTATTGCTTCGTGAACTACTCTGGAATAACGTAGACGACTCACGAGTTGTTGCTACAGTGAGATCATCATGCTGCTCACATATCCTCCTAGCCTCGGAAAATGTTAGGTCCTTCTTTTCCAGCAACTTTCTCTGGAGATTCATATTGTTAATGCCTCCAGTAAGGCGATCACAATTGCTCCTCCAGTCTGTCTCGATAGTTACACTTGGAAGCCTGTTTGTTGAGCAACAGGATGAAATCTCGACAGGGCATTGACTCGGCACGAACCAACGAATTGAATTTTACCCTCTCAGTGGCTTGGAAATCAACAGGAATCACGTGGGCAAGAAGCAGTTGTTTCAGTATCGGGAATAGTAACCTGGCCGGGTTGTCGGGGAAAGCGAGATTCTTCAGCAAAGACTACATTTCCTTNGAAATAGTACGGATTGATCCTGTTTTCCGTTCTGCCGTAGGCTGCACCAGAGCTCGAAACGTTCGACCCATTCTTCAATCTCAGACGGATGTGAATGTAGATTCAGGGATTCGATAGTGCGCAACTTCATGCCGCGACACCAATTGTAGTATTCGGTATAGGAATCGAAATCGAATAGCGCGAACTCGGTATCGGACTGAAAACCCTCTGAATAGCAAAAAGTCAGGTAGAACCAAGACGAGCTGTGGTTACAGTTAATTCTATTAAGAAAATCATGGAAATATATATTACAAGCAACAAACAATCATTGGTCGATNTTGGTCGATTCTTGAATGTCCAATCGACAAGGATATGGTTTATCTGTTTGCCTTCTTGCACTCAGCCAATCCGGATGATGCCAATTGAGACCCCAGGGTTGGTCGGTCATCCCGCTTCTCGATTGGTTACCTGGAAGCTGTACCGCGGTGCGCGCGCATTCGGTATACGATCACCATAAGAATGTCCACTCGAGGATTTTCAGCTTCCTCCCGAAATATGTTGCTCCTCATCGAAACATTTTCTATCAAAATCGATTTCTGTATACAGCATTTTGTTGTTTTCAGGAATTGGGCGAATATTGGCGGTTTAATAATAAACTTCATTCACGGTGTGTATGAAGATAAAGAAATATGACTCTCATTTAGTTCTGATAAACAAAAAGCTAAAAATATACAGAAGTTGTATAAACAAAGCCACTGGTGGAATAACTGGAATATCGCAACAAAATGCAACAAATGATAGACTTGTGAAGATTAAGCTAAATAAATAAATGTTTTTACTTCCTTTGCAGTTTATTAATCCTCGAAATGTACAATCAACTCTCAGGGAGGCGGCCGTATCCATCCAAAGAAGAAATACCTATAATTGGAAGAAGGGTGACGGTGGAGGGGTTCGAACTCACCAACCCCAGGTTGGGTTTATTTTGACAACCTTAACACCACTTCCTTCGTCCTTTTACCTACATATTTCCACCGGAAACGGGCCTGCATGACATTTCTGTGTATCACACCTTTGTTCTTCACGGTCGAAACCAGCCAACTTCCCCCACTAGTAAGCGAATAGCTGGTAATCTTGAAAAGTGGGAGCAGAACGACACAAGTAGAAATAGCTTTTCATTTGTTTATCTCTTGCAAAGATTCGTTCACAATTCGTACGTATATGTTGTTTCATTTACCCGTTGATTGCACTTTAGAATTGGCAGTATACCCGTAAGCTGATTATCGAGGTCACATGCTCGTCACAGCATTCCGGCCAAAGTAAAACCTGTTCGTCGACTGAGAAAACATAAGTATAGAACTGAATCGCTTTTTCAAATGGACGATTCATTGAAGTGATGAATTTTTGATGACACAAAACATCGTTGATTATCTAAAATCGGATAATAGTCTCGACAATTCGTGTTCTGATGTTATTTTCACGTTTCTTGTGTTTTTTCTTTTCTGTTCATCTAAGCATTGGTCTCTAAGAGTTATAACGCGTTCAGACGCGTTTAAATCACTGCATTCCTCAAAACGTTCTCTGTGGTATTGTTTGTCAAAACAAAATCACTACTCGTAGACTATGGTGCGGATGACGTGTATTACTTTTTCGCCAGAATATTTATTTCCAAAAACATTAT